GTGTGTCAAATGTCCTCAGCACAGCTACCAAATTTTGGGCCTGGTTCCTTTGAACTACTGGCTGACGATATGCATGACACCTGTTAATTTGGTTGCTTGTTTCTTCGATAGTCATGCTGTTCCCAAGTATATATTGGTCTGCGGGATTGTCTATTTGCCTGATCCCAAGATTTTCTTCACATTGAATTTGTTCTTTTGACCTTCAGTGTCCCCAATCTGAAGACAGTGAGGGAGCTCATTTACAAGAGAGGATACGGCAAGGTCAACCATCAGAGAATTCCTCTGACAGACAACGCCATCATCGAGAAAGAGCTTGGTGAGTATTTTTGGTTTTGATCTTTTACATGTAACCCCGTCTGTCCAGGCATAGTATCGAGGAAATGGAACTGGGTTTATTTCTGATTCAGGCCGATACCTCTCTGTAAATCATGAGATAAGTGTTGTTCCAGCAGTGTCGAAAGCCTTGCCTTTTCTTTTTTAAGGAAAGGATATTATGCTGGTGTAAAAATGACTCATAGGAATTAACTTTTAATGGGTTATCTTTTGTCAGAAAATGATCGTGTTGTTGCATGCAATAATTGAAGATTACCTGGGGGTTTTTTTGTGTGTGCAAAGCTAGTATATAACGTAAAAGGGGTATTAAATACGTTTTGGGGGTCTGAGTACGTATGTCACTTTTTGTGTTGGAAAATATGTATTGTTTTCTTGTATTGTGCCTGGTGGAGTTGCCAATACTAAGGAAAAATGTTAGGAACTTGTAAGACCTGAGTTGGGAATGTCAGTGAGAACAAGATAGATCATCAAGTGCAGTTTCGTCGATTATCATAGTCAACCATTGGGCATTAGTCTTTTGAAAGCAGAATTAGGGGGAGGGGGGGTACTACTTGCCTAATGCCTGCCATCTTGTCGTGCTGCATGGATAGAGCCTGTTATGTAGTTCTGTTAACACATTACACCCTAAGGGCCTGGACGGGAAGTCCATTGTTAGATCCTAAGCAAGGGGAAAGAACCCACCTCCCGTGAATACTA